TTTAGAAGACTACCCTATCGTCGAATATGAAACAATTAGAGATTGAGTGCTGCACAATCCACAAGAGTAATTAATCAACCTTTATTCCATTACCTTAAATATTATTATTTTACTTCCATTTTTTGCAAACTAAATTATATTATTTTCTGCAGTGCAATTTGGGAAGTTCGACCCAATAATTTCCAAGGAAAAGAATTCATAAAATCCACGATGGACGTAACACAAAATATCAGCGTTCCGGTAAGTAAAATTCATTCATCATAATATATTATTCTCTTACATTTCATTTACGTCTTTTTTTCCTTAGAGTCTTGAATTGGAATTGAAATTGTTACGCCGACTCATCAACGACGACTCTTCTCCTGTATCAAAAGATTATGCAATTCTAGACTTCAACTATGATTATGAATGTAATAATCTTATGTTGTTACACGCTGAAATCCACAAAGAATGCACTATTAGAATTTCAGGGAATCTAGCCACTTTACAAAAGTATGTGAACGACATTCTTCCAATTGACGATCGTCCATAGATACGATGCAAACATCTATTAATTCCATCTTCATTATCGGGCAACAATTGGTACCTCTATCATGTATATATCCCCGAATAGAAATTTGAAATCTATGACTGCAGCAACAACGTCCATACACCATACCTAATCAGAGCTCATTCAAATGCAGTCAAAGACTTAACTGTACTTAAGTTAAATGCACTAGAATTTTTTGCTTACAGACGATACGTGAAGAAAACTGCAACCACATCTATAGACGTTGACATTATACCATATCAACCCTATGTAAATAATGGGTAAGCAGTTTAATTATTTCTTATTTTTTCTAACATTTCACTCCCAAATATCTATTTATCACACTAATCTAGTTTAACATAAACCAATTTCTTTCCACAGGGAAAACTTCGTGCTCAAGTACATAGAATGTTTCGTGCTTGGATATCCAATAGAGTCAGTTTCAGCAGATATGATAACTATATATAGACGAAAAATTACAACTGATATTTGTTTCGATCGATACTTTTTAAACTGAGAAACAAATCTTATAATTGCATGTACAAAGGTACATACAAATTTATTGCCCTTTACCCTTAATCACATGTTACAACATTTTCCTTTGCCTATATTTAACAGAAATATTTTTTCTTCTATCTCACAATAACATAAAATAAGTCTTCATATTATTGACAAAATATGTTGCTACAAATGACTCTTAATTATTCAATGTTCTCTCATATTTAAACTCTCTACATTATTCAATAAAGATTCTATATCCAATGCTAACGAAACCTTCAAAATTAGAAATTCCATGCATCGCATGGACCAACACTAGTTTTGCAAATAAATGTAATACATTTCCTTTCAAATTAAAAAAAAAAAGAATTTAAGGGGACTAAACACGGTTTAGTGAAAAACAATGGGTAGATTTCAGCCATCGGAATGAGTCAATAGATTTGAGATAACTAGGCTTCCATCATGCTAATTACATAAGAATTACTCTTTTGTTTCGTTTATACCCGCTCACTTTCCTTATTTTATTGTCTCATTTATAGTATTGTTTCTTTATTACAGCCAGTCTGGAAAGATTTTATAAAAGAAAAGGTCTTGAGGTTGAGGAAAATGTTAATGAGAAGACGTCAAATTGAGACGATTTTGATATTGCACAACTTCCCACCGATCCTGGATTAAGGATTCCAATCTTGAATTACAACTCTAACATTAGTACGAAGATATTAAAATATGAAAACTCGTAAAAAACAATAACAAGGTATTTTATTTTAGTATAATTTTTGTATTATAACTTTTTTTAAAATTACCGCCCGCACTGAAAAAATTTCCTAGGTCCTCCCCTGGATCTGAATCCCTAGCACATCCCAAATCCATATATATTCACAAGTAGACTGACTTAATTGTTGGAGTGCTCGTGACAGCCTCCCCCTCTATCGGACAAAGCCACGTGCTGTAACGATTTGTCCAAGTGTGCAGAAAAAATCTACGCGCACTTGAGTGGAAACGTGATCCGTTGATCCATATTATCCGGGCGAGAAACTAGGTCAACAATATTTAAATTTAACTCATAAATGTAGATTTACTAAGCGGTTGTTGGACACATATTATTTAAATTTTTTTTTATATACTCATTTTCAATCACATTTACACAAGAAAATATTATGCATGTAAGCTCAAATTTTTTTCTTATTTTTTAACCACTCGTTCTCCTAAAAATCATTATTCAAACATTATTTTAACCAAATAATGGCCATCAAACTGGTGCTAAATACTGCATGACCTAAATCAACAATGTCTGATGACCTAAATACTGCATGGAAGTCTTTGGTTCCGTCTAGAATTTCAGATAGTCGTCTTGGGCTCAAACGTATGGCTTGTAGTTGGACTCAAACATTTGCACTTCTTGATGTTTTGTGGTTCGTGAAAGTGAAACTGTTCATAAAATGGCTAAAATGTTGAATATCTTAGATTTTGAGTCATGAAATACGTGAAAAAAAAAATGTCTGGGAGAATGGTCTTTCCCAGATTAATACAAATAATTATAGTTATTTACAGTGAAATATTTGACTAGTGATTAATTCCATCAAGTCTAAAAATCTGAATCACTAACTTTGGATCAACGATCTTGATCTTCTTTAATTGCTTCCAGTGTTGAATCTACTTTGATTTTCTCCCAGTCCAGATTACAGTACACACCAAAATATGACAAAATACTTATTAGTTTTCAAAAATTGTATTAAATAGCTCGATCTTCTAGTCTTTCAATAGACTTGAACAAGTCTTGTAACTAGTCAAGCTTTCATAGGTCAAAGACTTCGAATGAAAATGAGCGCTGTAACTTCTCAAGATTTCGCATATCATTGCAGTATCTTAGGAAAAAAGTATTGTCAAACTTGTCTTAGTGCTATATACTCTGTTAAATTAGTTAATATAAGAATAAAAACTTGTCTTAGACACGTCAATATTAGGTCCATTCAATATCTGAACCATGGAACACTGAGTGCACCACATGCACCACATAGGCAGTCTTGCGCTCTCGGACAAGGCAGACTGAGAATTCGACAAAAGCTGCTTCTTGTGAGATTAAAAAACTACTTTCGGATAAGTTTGAATAATTTCCCGGAAGTGCAACTTCCAGTTCAAAAAGCTTCTGGAGGAAGCTTTACCCAAGGAGGCTATCAGGAATCTCTTCTAACAAAAGAAGCAGAAACGAAGCCCTGCCAAGTATGCCTTAATTCAGTTCGTGACCAACCTTGACATAGGTTGTGAAGAATGAATTAGCTATCTGAAATTTCCATCAGTAGCCATTTCAACTGTTGAAACCAGAAATGCCCATAATCTTAATCTGAAACTAGGAGATTTAAGAATGACAAACTATCAAGCATCTTAAATTAAGCAAACAATGATATTCTAAACCGAAACACCAATTACAACCCAAATGCTCATTCCAAGAGTTTAAAATTCGTATATTAGAGTTGCTTAAAATAATTGTAATAGAAAGCATTTTCGACTGCTTAGCTATGTGTGCTTTCTAGTAACGGCCAACACCCCAAACTCTGATGACACCATCAGTATAACCGCTGAAAAGAGTGCTGCCATCAATACTCCAATTGAGACTAGTGCAGTATAGTATCTACAATGTAAATTTCAGAAGATCAGGTACATAACCAAACAAGTAAATTTCAGAAGATTAGGTACATAACCAAACAAGTACTTCAAAAAGCTTGAAGAATCAGCAGCAACAAGACTCGATAGAGGTAGAAAACCAACCTCAAATTCTCAAATTCAGACCAAGCAAGGGCCATAGCATCATAAAAGGAAAATAAAACTTATTACTTCAATGTAAAACCAAGTCTAAGTATATACACAAATGAATATAAGCACATGTACACATGATAGTTAATGTTCAAGGTTTTATAAAAATTTACAAGTTATGTTCGATAATTTGAATAGGCTTTAAGTAGAGCCAACGGATGCCCCCAGCTAGTCGACCCTCTGTAGCATGGGACAAGCTTCTTCAAAAGGCTTATAAAGCACGAGCAAATTGCAGAAGAATGTGAATTCGAGTACTGTCACTAAAGATAACAGGAAAAAATGCATCACAATGCAAATTAATCATTTCTCATACGCTTTAACTTGAAACATACAACATAACATACAAAAAAATCAATCAAGTTTCACTTGCAAGAAACTAAACTGACTGTGAATGCACACAGAAGACGGGCCATCCGCACTAATTCAACCTAATGCCAGACATTTGACTTCTATATTACATCAAGACATGGACAAAATCTGAACTTGCAGTGTCTAATGCATAAACTAAAATTATAGTCAAGAAATTCATCCTATAGATGACTGCCAAAAAGACGAAAGAAGCATATACATAATTAATATGTAGCAAATTAAAAACAAATAGATATGAAACATTATCAATGTACCTTGTTTTTGTTACTGGTTTGAGTAGTCTCTTCAGCAGCCATCTCACTCTCCTGTTTCAAATCCACCTTAAGATCCACAACAACAGTCTTGCTCTCCAAGTCCCATATCTTAATGCTGGCTTCAGTGGCAGCACAGAGCCAGTACCTGTTGGGACTGAAGCAAAGCGAATGAATAGTTGAACCAGCTTCCAACGAGTAAAGCTTCTTCCCTTCCGCCAAATCCCATAGCAATATCACCCCATCTCTCCCACCACTCGCGCATAAGGACCCATCAGGCGAAACAGCCACCGTATTAACCGACCCGGTATGCCCAGCCAAGGTGGATCTCAGCTTACAATTACTCAAATTCCAGATTTTCAAAGAAGACTTGTTCATTACTAGCGTAAAGTACAAACCAGCAACTGGGCCCAATGCTTAATTCTCATCATCATCAGCTTACATTTACTCAAATTCCAGATTTTCACAGTCCTATCCCACGACCCAGACACTATAGTAGGTTGAAGCGTATTGGGAGAAAACCGGACACAGGAAACCCAGTCAGAGTGGGCATCGCTGTCTTGAATAGTGTACTTGCATTCACCCAAAGTATTCCAAAGCTTAATAGACTTATCACGCGAAGCAGAAACAATTTGCCTGTTGTCAACAGAAAACGCAACCGAGAGCACATCCTTAGTGTGCCCAACAAATCGGCGGGTTGTAGCACCAGTCTGGAGGTCCCACAGACGGAGCTCGCCGTCCCAGTTCCCGGAAAGCGCGAACATACCGTCAGAGGAAAGGACAACGTCCTGGACGAAGTGGGAGTGGCCGGTAAGGCGGCGGCGAGCGACGCCATAGGTCCTGTCTTCCTTAGTGATATTCCACAGAATAATGGACTTGTCACGAGAAGACGTGACTATCATGTCGGTGTTATCTACCGGCGTGGCAATGGCGGTTACCCAATCTGTATGGGCCCTCATTATGCCTCTCAACACCAGCTGCTCCTGCGCCATAGCCGCTTTCTCTCTGTTTGCTTCGTCACCAGAAAAGAAGAGAGTTTGCTAGGGTTTACATAAAAGGGCTAAATGGAAATAAAGGGAAATATATTGTGTGCGCGGATTTTTGGGCCTTTGTAAGGCAGGCTCAGTGGGTATTGAATAGAGAAAATTACTAGAAACCTACTTTTAAAGTTTCATTTTCAAAAAGTAGGTAGGTTAATTTTTATTTCACAAATCAGATGATAATTAAATTTTAATAATTACAATTAATAAAAATTTAATTACAATATATAATTAACTATAATTAACGGGTTTTGCTAATTCATAACCCAACTCACCTCTATCTCTCTCCAGACCCGCCTCTCTCTCTCTCTTTACATTTCTCCCAACCTTCCTCTCTTTCTCTCTATATTTCTACCAGCCTGTCGCCGTCTTGAGAATCGCCGGAGAATCACCTGTCACCTATCCATTGCACAAATCTGTCGCTTCGTTTGCCGTGGTCTCCCAGCCCCATCACCCTAGTCGTTGGCGTTGGTACCGTTCGGAGATGGCGGCGCTGTGAAGGTGGCGATGTGAACTTGGATCGAACAAAGGACCTGGTTTCGTGGTGAAGTCGTGGGCACTACAAGTGGAGGTGTCGAATAATAAATCTATTGGTGGGTTTGTGACGCATTGTGGGTGGAACTAAGTGTTGGAAGCAGTGTGCGGGGGCGTCCCATGGTGGCGTGGCCTCTTTATGCTGAACAAAAGTTTAATAGGGTGGTGTTAGTAGAAGACTTGAAATTGGCTCTGCGAATCAACAAATCAGAAGACGGTTTGTCACTGCTGAAGAGGTCGAGAGTCGATTGAGAGAGTTGATGGACTCAGACACGGGTGAGTCAATCAGAAAGTGCACCAAAGAAAAGGAGGCGAAGGCAAAGGCGGGGATCAGTGAAGGTGGTTCCTCCACTGTTGCACTGACCAATTTAATCAAGTCATGGAAACTTGGTTGATAATATCGAGACAAAATGATGCCTGAAACTGTCCAACGATCGAGGTCTTGAATCTCCGAGCATGAATTATATTCTGCTACTGGATTTAATGATACTGGGGATTTACATGTACCAAAATTGTTACCAAATTTGTTCACTTGTGCGTATTGTGTTATTGCGTCTGTGAATTTAATGATATTGAGTTCTTTGGTTGATACTGAGTCTGTGAATTTAATCATACTGGATTTAATGATACTGAGTTCTTTGGTTGCTAGTTCCAAGAGTTGGTGGCTCACTGTCATCGAATTTTGTTGGTAGTTTTTGAGATATCTGTTCTGCAATTGGTTTTTATCTTTTGATATAACTGTTTTATCTTAATGAATTATATATTTTATATAACTATGAAAAAATTTAAGTCATTCTTCCTCTATTTAGAGTGCGTGAAATGTACTTGTGATATGTTTTAAAAATTGTGTTTGCGAAATGGTCGAACATTTTATGCATGTTAGCTAGATTAAAAAATGCAGTGAATTGGACCAATTTTGAATTGAGAAATATGCGTCTGTTATTGCAATATCCCTCTTCCTACCGTAGCAATTATCCCGGTAATTTTCCCTCTTCCAAATTTGTGTGTATTGTGACTAATTGTGACCAATTTTGTGTTAATTGTGACCGA